GGCATGTGGTTACGACCCCGGCATGTCTGGCGGAGACGACGTTGACTACGATGATGCGGACAAGCTCGCCTCCGATTCTTGGTACAATGAGGAGTATGTCACGGGGGATGATGCAGCGTAGGACTTGGTTGCATTTTTGTTTTGCTATTTTTGTGGGGGCGTCGTTGAGCCCTTTATAAAACACTTTTGTAATATATCAACTGTAATAAAGTAGTTACTTTTTGTTGTGTACCTCTAAAATGTTTTCTTGTTGTGCATTTTTTATTGTGGGGGAGCCCTGGGTTACTCAGCCTTGTGTGATATTTTATCGTAATCTGGGCGATGTCAGATGTCAAGTAATTTGTGTGATGTTGATTATTAAAAGATTTGAGCAAGTCATGGTTCGAGCGGTGTCGAATTCTTTTCTTTGTTGATGACCCTTGGCCGTAAGGGTGTTATTTCGAGTTGGTCGAAATGTTAGTCCGTTGTGGTTCGAACGAGGTCGAACTCTTCTTTTTATCGATGGCTCTTGGCCGTAGGGGTGTTATTTCGAGTTGGTCAAAATGTTAACCCGTTGTGGTTCGAACGAGGTCGAACTCTTCCTTTTGGCGATGACCCTTAGCTATAGCGGTGTTATTTCGAGTTAATGTCGAAATGTTAACCCGTCATGGTTCGAACGAGGTCGAACTTTTCTTTTTGCGATGGCCCTTGGCCGTAAGGGTATTATTTCGAGTTAATTTCAAAATGTTAACCCGTCGTGGTTCGAGCGGGGGTCAAACTCTTCTTTTTGGCGATGGCCTTTGGCCGTAGGAGTGTTATTTCAAGCTGGTCAAAATGTTAACCCATTGTGGTTTGAACGAGGCCGAACTCTTTTTTTTGGCGATGGCCCTTGGCCGTAGGGGTGTTTATTCGTCGAAATGTTAACCCGTCGTAGTTCGAGCGGGGTCGAACTCTTCTTTTTGGCGATGGCCCTTGATCATAGGGGTATTATTTCGAACTGGTCGAAATGTTAACCCGATGTGGTTTGAACGAGGTCGAACTCTTCTTTTTGGTGATGGCCCTAGGCCTAAGGGGTGTTATTCCAAGTTAATGTCGAAATGTTAACCCGTCGTGGTTCGAGCAGGGTCGAACTCTTCCTTGCGACGATGGCCCTTCGCCGTAGGGGTGTTATTTTGAGCTGGTCGAAATGTTAACCCGTTGTGGTTCGAACGAGTCGAACTCTTCTTTTTGAACGGAGATCAACAGAGATTGAAATGTTGAGTGAAATGCTGCTTTATTTCGTTTATTGGTGTATTGTACATGTCAGTTTCATACATAGTGGAGAAGTTTCCTTGTATCTAGTCCCTTCATCGTTCGGCTTGGAGATATCAGCGGCAGACAAGGCGATGAATTATACTTTGGACTTTGAGACGTCCCCCTCGTCGCCTCGTTAAAAACCTCTCCGAGAAAACGCAATTGGGACAAAATCCGAGTGAGGGAAAAGGAGTACGACTCGGGCGGCATCCTTTTTCATAAGTGAAAGTATTTGAGGTGGGTGACATTCCAGTTGTTCTGTAGCAGTTTTCCCTCCATGTTTTCTAGTTGGAATGCCCCTTTGCTTGCCGCCACTGTAATTTTATATGGTCCGTCCCAGTTGGTTCCCAATTTTCCTTCTTTTAGGTCTTTGGCCACTTGTGTTTTGGCCTTGAGGATGTAGTCTCCAACTTTGAGCGGACATATTTTGGCTTTCTTGTTATAGTACCTTTCCGCTTGTTGTTTTTGGGCTACCATTCTTACATTAGCCATATCTCTCCGTTCCTCTACTTCGTCGAGGTCCTATATTCTGTTTCCGTCGTTGCTTGGTCCACTTTCATTGGAGTATCTTAGTCTAGGTTCTCCGACTTCAACTAGTATAACAGCGTCAGTCCCGTAGACTAATGAATATGGCCTTTCACCTGTGCTGGTCTTTGGCGTGGTGCTGTAGGCCCATAATACCTCCGGTAGCAGTTTCGACCACAGCCTTTTGGCGTCCTCGAGCTTCTTCTTTAGTATATTCAATATTGTTTTGTTGGAGGATTCTGCCTGACTGTTGCTAACTGGATGATATGGCGTAGAGAGTATTCGCTTGATGCGCCATTTGTCAAAGAACTCGGTCGTCTTTTTTCCGACGAACTAAGGTCCATTATCACATCTAATTTCTTTGGGGATGCCGAAACGACATATGATATTTTTCCATATGAAGGTGATGACTTCCTATTCACGTATTTGGGCGAACGCACCTGCCTCCACCCATTTGGAAAAGTAGTCAGTTAAAACTAAAAGAAAGTGTGTCTTACGTTGACCCTCGGGAGGGGTCCGGCAATGTCCATTCCCCATTTGATGAACGGCCATGGCGAAATGACGGAGTGCAGGAGTCGCCCGCTTGGTGTATCATTGGTGTGTACTTTAGGCATTGCTCACACTTTGTTGACGTAATCCGCTGCTTCTTTTTTCGTAATGGGCCACTAATATCCTGCCCGAATGAGGCATCTGATGAGGGCCCGGTTGCATGTGTGGGAACCGCAGTGACCTTTGTGTACTTCTTTGAGGACACGCCTTGTTTGATTTGGTCCTAGGCATTTAGTCAAAGGGCCGCCGAACGTCCTTTTGTAAAGATCGTTGTTTATGAGGTTGTACCTGCCTGCCTATATTCGAAGCTTTTTTGCTTCCTTTTTGTCTTGCAGGAGTGTTCCATCCTACAAATATGTCATGATACGGTTGCATCAATCCCAAGTTAAATTTATAGAATGTACCTCTACTTGGTCTATTGATGAGTGGAGGAGGGTGACCACGTTCTCCTTGGTGATGTTTTTGGTTGCTGCTGCTAGTTTGGCGAAATCATCTGCTTCGATGCTTTGTGCCCGCGGTATCTGATCGAGTCAACATTTATCGAATTATGGCAGTAGCTTATGGATTTCTGCACAGTATTTCTATAGCCTTTGTTCCTTGATTTGGGAAGTCCCAGTAACTTGATTAATGACGAGTTGTGAGTCGCACCTGAGGACGACTCATCGTGCATCATATCTGAGGGCTAGTTTCAATCCTGCAATTACGGCCTCATACTCGGCCTCATTGTTAGTCATATCGGGGAACCGTATGGACTGGCAAATTACTTCGCCTATAGGGACTTCAACTACGAGTCCCAGTCTTGATCCCGAAGCATTAGATGCGCCATCAGTGTAGAGGACCCAGAGGTCGGGTTGCCCAGGGGAGGTGCGAGACGCTTTTTACTCGACCTCAGGTAATATTTCGACACTGAAGTCGGTGACGAAGTCAGTGAGTACCTGCGATTTTATCACTGTTCGCTACTGATAGGTGATATCATGCTCGCTTAATTCTATGGCCCATTTGGCCAATCTTTCCGATAGCTCTGGCTTATGTAAGATGCTTCTAAGGGGAAAAGTCGTCACCACCGATATAGGGTAAGATTGAAAATATGGTCTAAGCTTTCGTGAAGCTACGACCAACGCCAGAGCCAATTTCTCGAGGTGGGGGTACCTCGTTTCGGCATCAATCAAGGTTTTGCTAATATAATAAATTAGGGATTGTGTACCTTTGTTTTTGTGGATCAGAACTACGCTCACTGCGACCTCTGAGACGGCCAAGTAGATTAGAAGGCATTCGTCGGGGTCCACTTTTGCGAGTAGTGGTGGTGAGGACAAGTACGCTTTTAGTTTTCTAAGGGCCTCGATGCAATCTGAATTCCACTGAAGCCCGTTGTCCTTCTTCAGCACGTTAAAGAATTTATGGCATCTGTAGTACGACCGCGAGAAAAAACCTTGACAGGGTGGCTATCTGCCCCGTTAATTTTTGCACCTATTTTTTGCTAGTTAGTATTTTAGGTATTCCTTCGATGGCTTTGATCTAGTTTGGATTGACCTCGATGCCTGTTTGTGATACCAAGAAATCGAGGAATTTGCCCGAGGTTGAGCCGAAGGCGCATTTTTCGAGATTTAGCTTCATTCCATACTGCCTTAATATGCTGAAGGCGTCTGTAAGGTGGTCAATGTGGTCCTCTTTCCTTTTGGATTTGACCAACATATCGTCGATGTAAACCTCCATCGTCTTGCTGAGTTGGTCTTTAAATATTTTGGTGACTAACCTTTGGTATGTTGCCCCCACATTTTTTAATCCGAACGGCATGACTCTATAGCAGTATGTTCCCTGGTGGGCGATGAAAGTGGTTTTTTCCTAGTCTTCCTCCTCCATGAGGATTTGGTTGTAACCCGAATACGCATCCAAAAACTTAGCAGTTCGTGCCTAGCTGTTGCATCAATAAGTTGGTCGATATAGGGCAGTGGAAAAGAGTCTTTCGGGCAGGCCTTATTTAGGTCCGTGAAATCAACGCACATCCGCCATTTCCTATTTTTCTTTTTTACCATGAACACATTCGCGACCCATTGGGGATATTTTGATTATCGGATAGAGCCATTGACGAGTAGCTTATCGACTTCAGCGCTAACGACCTCATTTATTGCGGCATTGAATTTTCTCCTCATCTGTCGCACCGGCAGATATAGCGGGTCGATGTTCAGCTTATGCTTAACGATATCTTTTAGAATGCCCGACATATCTGAATAGGAGAAGGCAAACATGTCGACATTGTTGGTTAAAAATTTATGAAATATACCCGGTTTTGAGAGATTGTGTCCGATATAGGCCATTTTTGTGCTATCGTTGCTGTCTAGTTGGATGGGGTCGAGATCCTCTATGGTCGACTTGGCGGCCTCTATGACGTCATGATCTTTGATAATGCCTATTTGTGCGTCTGGTTTGGTTCCCGACGTTGCTAATTGCTATGCTTCCGCGTTTGCTCTCTTTAGTTGTTGGGTGTGTGTGCAATCCTGGGCAATGCGATAACATTCTTGTGCGGTGCGTTGTTCGCCCCGTATGCTGAATATTCTCCATGGAGTAGGGAACTTGATTACCTGATAGAGACTTGATGAGATGGCTCGTATGGCGTGTATCCATGGTCGCCCTATGATGGCGTTGTAGGCTGTGTCTTAGTCCATGATGTGAAACGTTGTTTCCAGGGTGACTCCTTCAGCTAGAATGGGTAGCACTAATTCTCCAGAAGTTTGCTCGACTGCATTATTAAAACCCGTTAGCGTTATGCAATGCGGTATTATTTTACCTTCGAGCCCCATCTGTGCAAGGACTAGAGGATGGATAATACACGCGCTGCTTCCACCGTCTACCATTATTCTTTTCACATCAGTATCCGCAATACGTAAAGTAATAACTAGAGCATCATAGTGAGGGAAAGACAAACCGTCGGTATCCAACTTATCGAAGACGATACTATCTTCGAGGTCATCATACCGTTCGTGAGTGATCAACCGTTTGAGTTTGTGTGCAGTGGTGAATTTCACATGGTTGATTGCTGTCCTATCACCTCCATCGATGATCATTTGTATGGTGCGAGCGGGAGAGGGCAGTGTTGGAGGTCCTTGAGGTTGCTCGCGTCTACGGGCAAAATTGGCTTGCCCTCGGTCGCTCATCAGTTCTCTCAGGTCTCCCTGATTTAGCATCCTCACCGCCTCCTGCCGCAGACCTATGCAGTCCTTGATTTTATGACCCCATTCCTGGTGAAATTCGTAGAGGGCATTTGATTTCCGAGTACTTGGATAGGACTTCATCTTCTGCAGCTGTTGTACCTTCGTGCCGAGCTCCTCTAGCGCGTACACTATTTCTGAAGGAGAAATACAAAAATTATGAGTAGATAAGAGTGGAGGCATACCTCTTTCATTTCGCAGTGTCATGGTATGTTGAGGAGGGCCATCCATGTGCCACGGGGGGTGTGGGATGGTTGTTCTGATGAAAGGCTGATGTCTCTCTCGACCGAGACGGGGAACCAACTGGTCCCTTCGACCGTCATTGCGTCGATCTTTCCTTGCTTTTGCTTGAACTGATGTCAGCCGTTGGATCGGGCCATTGAGATCATCCTCGTCGGCTCTTACCTCAGCTCAATAGGCATTGTGAATTTCTTCCCAAGTGGTGGGAGGGTATTTCGTGAGTCTGCTTACTAGCTTTCTGGTTGCTCTTGACCCGTTTCTGCTCTATCCATTCTGAAAGGCTGCTACCGCCATCCCTTCCGATACATTCGGTAGGCTCATTCTCACCCTGTTAAACCGAGCTAGGAAGGCCCTAAGTCCCTCGCCAGGTGTCTGCCTGATGGCGAATATGTCATTTACCCTGGCTTCCGCCTTTTTAGCCCCTGCATGGGCGGTGACAAACTTATCTGCCATTTCTTCGAACGTTTCTATTGACCGTGTCGACAGTTGTGAATACCAGGTTAGGGATCCCCCTGTTAGGGTTTCGCCAAACTTTTTCAGTAGCACTGCCGGTACTTGTTTTCTCGAAAGATCGTTGCCCTTCACCGCTGTGACGTAGTGAACGATATGATCTTCTGGGTTTGTAGTACCATCGTATATGTTCAGGTACAATGGCCTTTTGAAGGTTTTAGGAATGGCATGGGGGGATGTTTCTTCATTGTATGGTTTTTCGATGAATCGGCCCATGTCCCGTTTTGGTAGCAACTTTGGGGCGCCTGGTATCTTTTCAACCCTTTCTTGATGCTCCTTCATCTGGTCGCAAAGCGCCTTATTTTCATTCTCCATTTCCTCCACTTTCTTTAGAATGGCCGTGAGTGCGTCACTACCTGCATCAACAATAGTGTGAGCGTTACCAGTTCGGGGGGTGGGGGCATCTTGCTCACCGGTGTCTGTCATGATTTCTACGTGCGCAGTGTCCCTGTTCTCCCTTTGGGTGGGTTTATAAAGTATGTTGTTCAGAGTGCTTGTTAGCCATTCTTCTAGTAGCCTTTTTACCACCGATGGCGCTTTTTCCATCATTGACGTTGAGGCTTCCTTTTCGAAGAGGTAACGCTTTCGCGGGGGAGGGGGGATGTGAAGCATTTCGCCTAGGCGTAGCGCTTGGCGTCACGTTTTCATTGTCTTCCCTGTCATCTTCATTGATAGTGTTCAAAATATTGGCGGTGACACATGCTATTGTTTTTAATCTCGCATCTCCTTTCCCTGCCATTGTTAGTTTATGCAAAGCTAGGAAAAGATGGTTATCCCTTTCTATGATCTATATGAAACTAAAATTTCAACTAAAGAATTTCCCCCAGACGACGCCAAATTGTTTGACCAAAAGATGTTAAACCCTTTGATTAAACCAATCTTAAGATTAGAAGAAGGGTAAATCTCAGTTAAGAATAATAAATCTAGATCAAGTGATAAAGGAAGTAAGCAAGATGAATGATGGTAGCTAATATGTTAGAATCAATTGAATGCTCATAAATGCGACAACCTATGTGCGTAATCAATCTACATAGATGCAGTCAACACAGAAAAGAAATAAGTATGAGATGATTGTGGAATCTTTGGATCTTATCAATATCGTATAATGATGTAAGTGAAGGTTGCGTAATCAATGAACAAGGCTGTTCTTGTATTTACTCTCAAATGAATCTTTTACAAAGTGTTCTTTTGTCTTTTTGCCTGAATCCCCTCTTTCTTAACTAACTCTTCCTATTTATAAGGGACAATCTCCCAAGAAACCCTAGAAAGTACAACATAAAGAACATTCGAAGAGCATATTCTTACTGTTTCTTGCTAGGTTTACATTGCTGTTGACATCTCGTCTTGCCTGACCGCTCTTGGTCGCCGTCCTTCATCACGACGACCATCAGACGTTACGTTGTGGTAACCTCATTCCTCGTCCTACTCGGCAGCTATCGTGGTTGCCAAATTTGAACCCATAGAGGAATTGGCACGCCTAGACTTTCGGTCAATGCATATGTTATTAAACTTCTGGATTTATTTTACTTTTTAAATAAAATTCTCACAAATTAATCCCGTTTTTCAATTGATTAAGCGAGAAGAGAGGGGGAAAAATCAAGAAAGAGCAAACTAGCAAAAGCTTCACTAGGATATTGAGCAATTGTACAGGCAGGTGTAATTTCTATTGACCAACTTCGAATGGCTAATTTAGCCTAAACAAATTTATGTTGTACTTATGAGTGTCAGGACAACGGCAAAACCAGAGTCTAGCCATTACTCCACGGCCTCAACTTTGAACATATCCGTATAGTTTAATATGTGATAGAATATTAGCTACTTTTGTATGAGGTTATCAACTAATATTATCATAGAGTTTGTTTGTAATCTATATCTATACTATATTAAAAGCACGAAGGCCCTTAACGAAATGTCGTTCGCCTATTTTATCCTTTAAAAATAAACTTTACATTGGACAAAATTGTAATTGTAGTTTAATTATTTACCTAATATGTAGGACTTTAAGATAAGCTAAATTTTATTTATTAAATATTTTTCCTTTAAGGTATCTAAAAACTCCTAATATTTAGGAATCTAAATTGAGTAAAATTTTACTTATAAATATTTTTCCTTATTTAAATCGTGTAACAATTTTCCTCAAATTTGACTCTTTCACGTTTACAAGTTTTAACACTTTTAGAATTATAAAAGAAGACTTTTGCAAGTTTCTGCCTTCGTTTTAATTTTTGTAAGAATCATTAGCATTTTTAAATGTTAATCCAAATTTTTACATGTGCACAACAAGTTTAAGTTGACTTATAAATTTGCTATTTTTAATATAAATCTTTTAATCATTAATGACGGATAACATGTAAGTTATATTTTATGTCAGATATTATATCATTCAAATTATATTTATAACATTAATAATTTAAAATTAACTAACATTTTGCTATTACTTTATTTATTTGGATTATTCGGAGGGAGTTCTAATATTTAGAAATTCAACATCAAACAAAATTTTAACTTATATAACTTATTTTCTTATCTGAATTACGTAAAATAATCTTTAGTCAAATTCAAATCCTAAGAAGTAAAGAAAATATTTTAATTCAATTCTTATTTATCAAGATCTAATAACAATCGTGAATATTGAATATCACCAAACTAAGTTGCACACACTTTAATAATTTTTCTTTGGATCAAAGAATAATCGAGAATATCAAGATATATTATCTTCTCTTTAAGTTGAAAAATTCGATCAAAGTTATTATATCATCAGTTCAAATGAGAAAAATGAGTTTGGATATAACGACGAACAAGGAAATCAAAAATAACAAAGTCAAGTGGCGTATGAGTTTGCTTTGCCACCCAACTTATCGAGTGTGCATCTGGTATTTCATACTTCTATGCTCCAGAAGTATATTGTGGATCCGTCTCATGTTTTGGATTTCAACACAGTTCAGTTAGATGATGATTTGACTTATGATGTGGAGCTAGTAGCTATTTTGGAGCGCCAGGTTCGAAAGTTGAGATCAAAGGTTATAACTTCAATGAAAGTGCAGTAGAGAGGTCGGCCCGTAGAGGAGGCTACCTGGGAAACCGAGCGGGAGATGCGGAGCAGATATCCTTACCTATTTGAGGCTTCAGGTATGTTTCTTGACTCGTTCGAGGACGAACGTTTGTTTAAGAGGGGGAGGATGTGACTACCCGACCAGTCATCTCATGAGTTACCACTTCGTATCCCTCATTTCTGCTTCTTATTACTTTGATTATCAGTATTGTGTGTTATCAGGTTGGTTGGCTCGGGTTGAAAAAGGTTTCGGTGAGGTTTGAGATACTTAGTCTCTTTTGAGTGAGTTTAAGTTGGAAAAGTCAATCGGATGTTGACTTATGTGAAATAGAGCTCGAATGTGAATTCTGATGGTTCGGACAGCTTCAGGAGATGATTTGGGACTTAGGAGCATGGTCAGAATGGGTTTTGGAGGCTCGAAATATTTTTAGGCTTGAATTGGCGAAATTGGAATTTTGGTGTTTTCCGGTTGATATGTGAGATTTTGATATAAGGGTCGGAATAAAATTCCGAAAGTTGCAGTAGGTCCGTTATGTCATTTGGGATGTGTGTGCCAAATTTCAGGTCAATCGGACGTGGTTTGATAGACCTTTTGATCAAAAGCGGAATTTGGAAGATTTTGGAACCTTAGGCTTGAATTCGATGTGTTTTGGTTGATTCAATGTTGTTTGAGGTATTTTGAATATTGGTGCAAGTTTGGGTAGTGGTATATGAGGTGTTTGTGCTTTTGGTTGAGGTCCCGGGTGCCTCGGGATGGTTTCGAATGGTTGATGGGGGAGTTTGGAGTTTTGGAGGAGCTGCAGATTTTCTGCTTCTGATATTTCTGCACCTACGGATTGGGGACCGCAGGTGCGACGCCGCAGATGCGAAGAAAAGGCCGCAGAAGCGGAAGTTGGCCATTTGGAATTTGGCCGCAGATGCACTGAAAAGGGAGCATCTGCGGGACTGCAGGTGCGGTTCCTGGGCGCAGATGCGGCCCTACGGAGCTTAAGTGAAACCCACAAAAGCAGTCATGGATCGCAGAAGCGACACTGCAGGAGCGGGATTTTTGCCGCAGGTGCGATTTTGCTGGGCCAGAAAGTATATAAACTCCCTTTCACGAATTTTGAGTTGTTCTTCACCATTTCTATTCGGTTTGAGCTTGGGGGAGCCATTTTGAAGAGGGATTCAAGGGATAACGTCTGGAGGTAAGATTTTTGAACCTAATAATCGATCATATGACATTATTTCACTGATTTGGCTTCAAATTAATAAAAACTAAGGGTTAAAAATTAAGGAATAGGGCTTGGTATTGTAGACCTTGACTTGAGGATTTGAGGGCCATTTGTGGTAGGATTTTAGTATTTTCTATATGTATGAACTTGTGGGGAGATAAGGAGTCTATTGGTGTAAATTTTATCGAATTTCGAGACGTAGGCCCGGGGGTTGG